TTCTGATGAAGAAACAAACTCATCTACATCTTGGATGGACTGAGGCTGAGTAAACTTTCAGCAAATTTTTGTTTCTCATTCTTCATTTCGTTTCACGCCGCTCTCACGCTCTGTTTTTATTTTTTCTGAGCAGATGACTCTGTTCTTTGTGGCCGTGATCATGGCCGGTCTGAACGTGCAGTGGTTTTGTCCATCTGCCACAGAGTGCATGCTGGTCATGCAGGAGATCGAGAAGGAACACGGTCTGGGGAATCAGGTGGGTATGAGCTTCAATAAGGAAGGATACGCCAAACTCCGTGAACAGGACCCAAAATACAAGGAGCACAGGACCACCTTCTACCGCTACCATGGTCTGTCCAACCTCTGCAACCTTATAGGCTTTTTCTCCACTACCATCAATCTCATTTACCTGGCCCTCCATTTGGGAACTATATGAGTGTGTTGTGCGTTTATGAGAAAGAGTCCAGTCAGTGTATGTTCTCTTTTTCTGTCAGAATGTTTTATATAACAATAATGCTTCTAGTTTTTATACAACAAGAGTTTTTAGTGTTCTTTAAGGTTAAAAGAACCAAATTCAGAAGTGAAGCCAAAAGTGAAAAGTTGATTTTGTATTCACACTGTCCAAAAAAAATTGGACTCGGATCTCGATTTAGTCCGTTTTATTTGTGACCGGGTTTCAGTCCATTTCAGCCCAATTTGTCCATGACTTTCCTTTGAAATCTTTCTATATAAGGAATAATTCTTGTGACTCACTCTCAGACAATGTATAAAACGCATATTTTTATGTCTGGATTTATTATGTAAACATTTCCAGCCATATTAAATGATATTATTATGGATGTTAACAGTATTTCTCCCTACTTTAAAAGGCTTCAAAGTGGGTAATTGCATTGAATCTTTTGTTTATAATGAACAGACTGTCTGTTTAAACATGCATTAGTGATAATATAGCTGTTTGATTGTTTAAACAATGTGTTCTAATTTGTTGGTGAAGTATAATTCTTATCTGCTCTTGCCTTAATGCTTCACAATGTGAACAATACATATATTTTCCCACTAGAGGGCTGTTTGTGGAAAGGCTTATGTAAATGAGAGGACCAATGTTAGAATGGTCGATCATAAAATGCTGTTTACATTTCCTATAGAATGAATGACACTAAAATGGCAATTAAACACTATGGAAAAGCAATGAATAGTAACTGAACCTTTGATCATCTTTGTAAACATGATGTTTGAACAGCAAAGTAAACGTCCTTTATTACTGGACATGGAGGATGGTGCTGTTGAAGATTGAGTGACATACAAATGTGATTTATTATTATTATTTTTTTTTTTTGCATATTCAAGCCTTTGCTATGAAGATCTGTTGAGTTACTTTTTTCCCCTTTTAATTATAAGAATGCAAACGTTATTTGTGCGTGTTTGTGTCCATTGCAAACGGACAGTTTTTTTTTATTGACCCTGAACAAGCATTTATTCAGTTAAAGAAATATCAAACACCTATGTATGTTGAGTTTCAATTAAAAAATAAATACAGTT